AGATTTTACAGAATAGCCTGTTCTGTTGACAGAACGGACTGGCAGCGGATGGGGTTCTGGTAGGGAGCTCTGTTTATTTAGCCTCAGAGAAGCAAAGGCAGTAGGCCTTCTGTTAACTCGTAGAACAAGTTCTGCTGAACACAGATACCAAGTCCAAGGAGTTAGACAGTTCTATCTAAGTGCAAATATTAAAGCAGTAAGTAAATGACACCAGGGATTTTTATAGTGGTTCAAGGAACAACTTGTTCCTCTAGTCCACTGTTCCACTAAGCTATAAAAACTTCCGTTTACAAAGCCTTAGTCCTAGCACTTAAGAAGCTCTCCACGTCTTCTTCAAGTCTAGATGTCTCCTGGGATGCACTGCCTGGCTTCCTTTAAGACTGGTCCTTTCACTGAGCTTCCTGGAAGTATCACCACTTCACTACTCAAGTTACTTGGACGTCCTTCTTGTAGCAAGAAGAGTTTCTGTTAACACAGGGGTTCCTCCAACTAGCTTCGTTACAAATGATTTGTATATGATGAGCTTGAAGAGTTGAAGAACACTTGGAACTTTGCTTGAGTTGGAAAAAGTATTTTTCCAACTTCTGCCTTCTCTTGTAGAAGATGATGAAGTGTTAATCTCAAGGAGGCTTTTTGCTTTTAGAGTTTGAATATCTTGTATGAAGAGTTGTAATGTGTAGCAAAGATTGCAAAGTTATATGGTTGTTCTTCGTAGTGTATCTTTTATACTGAGGTTGTCTTCCCGATGGAGGAGTAGGAGGACAACTGCATTAAATGAGCGATCAGTTGACTTGACTAGTAGAGCCCGGTAAAGTTGGCGGGTTACTATTTTGGGATAAAGTATTCCTGACATTGCGGCCAATCATCTGCAATTACTCTACGGAGCATGGGGTGCATTAAATGAGCATTTAATGCGTGCACTGTAGCTTTTCCGTTTCATACTCCTAGCCGTTGAAGGAATCTTTTAGTTGACTTCCCGTTTCTGTGAAATTCTTCTAAGTGTCAGACCTTCTGGTGTCTTCAACTGAGAGAACAGAGGAGGTCTGGAGCACTTCTGTTGAGAGAATATCCAACAGAGACCCAGAAGGGTTTCTGTCAGAGTAAAGACTAACAGAGACCCTGAGGTCTTCTGTTCTGGAGCAGAGAACCAAAGGTCCTCTGTTTCAATAATGCCTTAAGAGGGTCTTGTGCTCTTGGAGCCCTTCTGCTCAGAAGGTCTTCTGCTCTGAAGGCATTCTGCCAAGTCGATTACACTAAGAACTTTACAAATGAAAATTCTAAAACATTAAGTCCAAATAGGGGTACTCTAAAGTCCTAATTAATCTAGCATCATCAAAATCTAAATACAAATATTACTTACAATTTCCCCCTTTTTGATGATGCCAAAACCCTTTAACTATTTCCAGAGAAGTGCCTTCACCATAAAGAAAGATTAAAGTTTAAAAACTTCCATTAAAATCTTGGTGGGCAACTTGGCATAGGAAAATAGTAAGAGTACAGTACATTCAGATAGCAGAATATAAAAGAAATAAACAAACACAAGCAGAAGGCAAAAAGACAAGAATTTGAGGAAAAGCACTTCAAAGTAAGAAGGCAGAGATGTGATTTTATTAGATAAGTTTTACAGAGTTAAACCTTACACATTCTCCAGATTAGCTGCTTGCAAAGCTTCTTCCTCCAGTCTTTGAAGCCTGAGCAGTTCTTCATTTATTTCAGCTCTGATTTTGAAAAGGTTGCCAGACCTTTGATAAGATGCCCAAATTGGAGAAAGCTTGCAGTCCAAATAGTTGAGAACACCTTCATGTATTGTCTTCCCTGGGACAATGTTCTTCTTATACCATTCTTCAGCTTCTTCTAATGATCCCCCATACCTAACTCTCACAACACCATCTTTGTCCAGATAGAGGTGTTGTTGTTGGGTGGGAGTCATTTTGGCCTTCATCTCTTCAAATTGAGCTCTGTCAATTTTCTGAGAACCACCCAATCTCCATTCTATGAAGTTAAAAACTTTCTTCTTCTTTGTGCCTTTCTTTACTGGAGATGGGGGTCTGGGTATGCCTGCTGCTCTCTTCTTCTGTAGGGCAGCTTCAAAATAGGGAGCCGGATCCACTGCAGGCTCAGCAGAGGAGGGTGCCCTAGTTGGAGTTCTGTGGGACCTAGGCCTGGTCTGTTGAGGGTCCTCTTCCCCCTTTTTGGCATCATTCAGATCTTCTATCATAAGGCTTATCTTCTGGAATTCTGAGACCTGAGTGGAGGCTATCTGCTCTAGGACCTCTGGTAGAGTCTGAGTAACAGAGGTAAGGTCTTCAATGAGACCTTGCTGCTTCTGTATGGCAGAGAAGATGTCCTTGTTATTGGCTTCAAGGAGCACCATCTTCTGATATCGGTCTCTGTCAGTAGATAGGAGAGCTTGAGCCTGTTCTTGATGAGCTCTGCACATTTGCTCAATAGAGGTCAGTTGCCTCTCTGTTCTGGCATCAGATTTCTTCAGAGCCTCAAGATGCTCTGAAATAGTGTGGATTGCCTGCCCTTGACTCAGGAGAGTCTGTTGAAAGATAGAGAGGGTTTTGTGGATACCTACCACTTCTGTTGACAGGACATCTGTTCTGGCAGAGGAGGAGGCGATGAAGTTGTTGAGTGTTCTTGTGAGGTTCTCAAAACGGTCAGATATGAACTGCATACCTGAATTTAGATTGTCATTCACATGAGCAAGGTGCCCATAGTGTTTGTCATTGATCTCTATCAGTTTGGTCATGCCTTGGAGGATCTGTCCACCAAAGTCTTCTGCAGGTTCAACAAATTTGTTGAAGGGAATGTTATTCTATTGTCCATCAGCTTGAGGCATCTCTAGACCTCTTCCCCTAGGCAATGAGTGATGTTCTTGGACAGATGAGAGAGATTCTACAAGCAGTTCATGTTCCAGTTGAGTCAGAGGAGGGGTCTTCTGTCTCTTTGATGTGGCCTTGTAGGATTTGCTGATCATGAATCCATCCATGTCAGATGAATCTTCATAAGAAGAGTAGATAGGTATTCTGTTGCGGACTATCTTCTTCTTCTTTCTGAGGGAGGGATTGGGGGCAACAGAGTCCCTAGAATACCCTTGGGGTGCAGAGATGGGGGAGACAGTTGTAGGGCCTGAATCTCTGAGAAACCATACAGGTTTAAGCTTCTCTGCAGGTTGGTTTGGGGGAGGTGAATCTGGAGGAGGGGATTGATGATCAGATTTAGAGGATGAAGAGGATATCTGTTGGGGTGAGGGGTTCTGGTGCTGGGGTGAGGGGTGAATAGGTGAGGCATTCTGTTGAGGGGGAGATGGTGGAGGTGAAGGGGAGCGGTTTCTGTAGGGAACAATTGCTCTACAGGGAGATGCAATTTTTTGTTTAGGTGATTGAGGAGGGGTGGGGGTTTTCTGTTTAGGAGATTTAGGTTGAGGGTTTTCTGGTGGAGGGGTTTCTGTGCTGTTGGGAGGTGAGGGGATGAGGGGTTCTGTTGACATATTAACAGAAGGGGTTGGAGAGTTTACCTCAATGGTGTTCTCCTCGAGCAAAGAAGTCCTCCACTCCTTGATATGCTCCATCATGGATTGCCCTTCTGTCTTGGGTACAGAGGGCTCTCCTGGGTTGAAGTTGGGTTGCACAGAGTCTGTTGCCATCTTGGTGAACAACCATTCTTCAAAGGCTTCAATTTCTCCATCTTTTAGAGGTTTGACAGCTTCCTCTGAGGGTGAAGATATGAGAATAGCCTTTCCCTTGTAGCTTGCCTTCTTCTTCTCAAGGACAGAGTGAAGAAAGTTGAGGGCAAAGCACTTTGAGACATCATCAGTCCCAACCCAATTCAGGATGGCTTCTTCTTCTGCCTCATAGTGATCAAAAAACTGAATTATTTTGTGGAGGGGTCCCATTCTCCATCTTCTCCATTCAAGGATCCGGGTAAACTGTCTGTCAAGCAAGGACAGATACCCATCTTTGACAGGACTAGGGTGTTCTGGTGGAGTTGGCACCCTGTTCTGTTCAGGAGATGCAGCAGAGGTGGGGATCTCTGGTTCCCCCTGAGTGTCTGCTACTCCCTCAGACACAGAAACCACAAGTTTAGCAACCTTCTTCTTGGGTTTTGTGGTCCTCTTCCTCTTCTGTCCAGCCTTTGGAGGAGCAACAGGTTCTGCCTTCTCGGTCTTCTTCTTCTTCTTCTTCTTCTCAGCAGAAGGGGCTACAGAGAGAGGTTTCTGTACCTTCTCTCCTTGTTGTCTTTTAGCCTCAAGTTGAACCTGTCTCTTCAGCTCTGCCTTTATGGCTTTTTCCCTATTTGGAGAGGCAGTCAGGAAGATTACCTTGGTGTGATCCAAAGCTGAAGCCTTCCTCAAGTTTACCCCTTGTTTGAGGAGCACTTCTGAAATGAGTAGTCCATGCCCTAGCTTCCCAGGATAGAGGCTAGTCTTTGGGTTCTTCTTCTTGATCACTTCAATCAGGGACTTCACCATGACTTGTCCCCAATTGATGTTTACCCCATGATGCACTGCATAAAGGGCCTTTGCATTGGCAGTTGTGACATCATCAGTGGAGGTGTACTTGCACCATAAACATTTGTGGAAAATGTTTATGAGCAGCTCAAATTCCTTTTTGAGCAAGTTCTTCTTGATGTTGACCTTCTCTACTTCTTCACCTTTTCTGCAGAACTTCTTCTTGAATTCTGCCAGAGGGATGTCAGTATCCTCCAAATCAAGTAGAGAGGCCCTGCCTTCCTCTTGTTGGATATTGAAGATGTTGTTGATGACGTCAGCATCAATCAAAACTTCTTCTCCTTGGACGACGGAGGAGATGGTTTCATCCTTGAAGGATGCGTTGAGATAGAACTCAACGGTGTCAACGTTGCTGTAGGCTTCATAACCATGAGAGATGACCTTGCTCAGTTGACATTATGACAGTCCGTCAACAATGGAGGTCATCCTCTCCTTATCCTCTCCTTGTAACACCCTCATTTTTCCCACCCAAATAAAATCACATTTTTAAATGAAACCATCTTTATTATTAAACATATTTAGAATACAGCGGAAGTCTTTAAGGGAAAAACAGGTGCGTCACCGCCACACTCAACCTATACATGATTGAGTGCACAGGCTATCCACCATAAGTTCAAATAACAATGAAATGGGTCTTAGGACAAAGTTTATGAATTACAAATTTAAACAACGATAATTAATCAAACGTGTGCAACTAGCGGAACACTCGGGCAACAAGTACATCAATCTTCATAATCATAATCATCTGTACAATAGAGCAAAGAGAAGAAGACAAAAGAGACAAAAATTAGCTTTAGAGCTAAGTAAGATTCCACCCGAACCCGTAAAATAATATAATTTGAAAAATAGGTTTGGTATAGGTATATATATAGAAAATACCCTCTCATATCTCCAAAATAACTTCATGTCTCAAAATAATTTCTTCAATAGATAATGTCATTCCTCAATTCCTCCAAAAGTAATACTTTAGATTTCTTTTAAGAGTGGGCGAAACTCAAGATTCCTCGAGCCCAACGAGTCGTTGTTATTTACGACTCATCCCGGAATTCCGGCTCCCACCGACCACCAATTTGGAAGCTGAATTTCTACCTTAAGTGTGCACACCCTCTAAAAGGGATTCCAAGCCCTCCGAGTAGTAAGAAACTCAAGTAGGCAGGATGTTTTCTACCACCTACTCACAAGGGACATTGTCCAAGGGTAAATTAGATAACTACTACTACAACCACCAAAGGACCTTTGGTCCTCAAATAAAAGCCCGGGATGTCTACCGGAGCATGTCATTGCCGGACTGGTTACCGACCCAAATAAATTTCACCAAAAGTAGTAGTAGTCCTAATCACCCACGCCTCGTGTTTCTCTCGAGACGTAAAAATATATTATGAAAAACTTTAAGTTTTTCCCAAAGTCATTCTTGTCGCACTTTCCAAAAATATACTTTGTAATAAATATCAATCCACCAATATTCTTTAATAAAAAGCATATACATTCAATAATTCATAATAGGTAATAATCCACCAATATCCATACATTCAAAATATTCATTCCATGTCAAACAAATAGTTTCCAATTCATAAATAGTTCACATAGTTCAAATATTGCATACATATAAATACGAGATAAAACATTTTTGGCTGACATAGAACTTACCTTAAATTGCGATAATCCTCTTAATAAAATCTCTAGCTTGGTCTTCACTTGAATTCTCCTTCTAATATATATCAAAATTCTAAATCAATAACTATTCTATTATTTTTGTTATTTCCTATCTATTCAACCTTTAGTTATTTTAACTTCATTATTCCTTCTTTAAATACAACTTTTAAGTTAGATCTATAAATCTTATTTAAATGTTAATTTTCAGTCCAACCTTATTATTTTCTTTAATCATACTAATCCCTTCATAATTTACTTTAATTTATTTGATTAATTAGTTAACTAGTCTAATTATATTAACTACATAATAATTTAGTTATTTCAAATTTAAATAATCAATTCAGTTCAAAATTCAGTTTACATAATTTATATAATTTATTTAATAAACCTTTTAATAATAATTTGATGTAAGCAATAATTCGAAATAATAATCATTAATTATAATCTAATCTCAATAACAACTTTAATTAGTTCAATAGTTTATTTATACTCACTAACCCAATTAAATTAATTAATTCAATCCTCCAGTTTTATTTATTTGATTCACTAATTTAATTGAACTAACTAAATCAAATAAATAAGTTTAATTATATCAATATAGCTAAATACATTAATCTAATTCAATTAAGGCCAATAATCAAATTCTAATTCCGTTTTAATGTTCTATTTTTAATATAAAGTCCAAAAATATTACTACGTCCATAATTTAACTAATTTATCCATTAAACTAATTGATTTAGTTAAACTAGTCCAATGGAGTCAATTAACTTAATTATTAAGTACACATTACTTAATTAATTTGTTTATATTAATCAACTAAGTTTTATGAGTTCAAATAGTTCAATAATTTATATGGAGTCCAAATCAATAATAATCAAAAATAATAATTATTAATTTAATCACACTAATTTAATTAGTCCACTACTTCATTAATTTATTTATTAAGTCCAAATATAGTCATTCATTTACGCTAGCTATCCCAACTTTATTTTTTTTCCTTATTTTATTCCAAACATCATTTTAGTCCAGAATATTATTTTCAATCTTAGTGATTTTATTTATTTCACCATTATTATTCAAATTTTCTTATTTAATTACTTAACTAGTTTTATATGGCCTAATTAAATTAAGTAGCTTAAGAAATGACTTTATAAATTTATAACCGTCCATAACTATATTTTGGGTCTATATTTGACCTAGGTTGTCCAGATATTTATTTTAGAATTATTTCCCTTATTTGTTCATTTAATTTCATATATCTATTAACCGGTTTAATCACAATTAAATATACTAATCATAATTTTTATTAAATATAAATGCTCCCACATGTCCTAGTTAGTCATATATTTAATCTAGTTTACTCCAATAATTATTTCATAATTTATTTCGTCGTTTAGTTAATTATTTACTAAATATGTACAAATTGGCCCAATTACAATTAAATCAATTAAAAATAGTTAGAAATATTATTTTTCAATTCTGGTTGGTCCGAATATGTATATTTATACTAGGTATTTAATTTATATTTTTCCAGATTTTATTTATTTCATTTACTATTTTATTTTTAATTTTTATTGAAAATGGGCCGAACAGGCCCATTAAACTGACCCGGCCCAAGAAGACTGGGTTGTCTTCCTCCCCATTCTTCTCCAGGTCGTTATTCCGGCGACCGGAAAATTAAGGAAACTTCGGCGAGCTATAACTTGACTTACAGGTAACGGATTTCGACGATTCAAATTGCAAAATGATCCTGACGGCGAGACGAAGCTCCGCCACCCCTATCTGTAGCAAACTATCCTCTTTTGCTGAAGACCCGCTTCCACGACTTGCAACTCCGGCGAGCTCTAGGATGCTCCGGTGATTACGAATCGGTCTGGAATTTATTGGGAAGTATTCCTATACCTTTCACGACCCTCCTCTATCGTTTATAAGCAATTCCATACGTAAATATATATATAAGTGTATATTTCCGGCGAGTAAGTATATATATATGCTCTACTCGTTTTCACTGAACTTTAGGGGATGTAAATGTCTCTATTTATAGCTGAGAATGGACTAACTTGGGCTCAACCATATCTGGAGTGATTGGTTTGCATTATTCCTTGATTTTTGAATTATTGTTAAATATTATTATTGTATGAACATGCATGTGAAAATGTTGGTTGTTCTAATGTATCTCAAGTCTCTAGTCCGCAGGTTCATTGCATACATTATCATTGCTACTTGTATTATTGTAACACCTACATATGTGTATCATTCTTACCCACAATTTAAATTGCATCATGCTCCCCTACATTTTTATTATTCATATTAGTATTATATATGTATACTTTTTATATTTTATTACATATTCTTATTATGTGTATATATTTCGTTGAGAAAAAATTCTTTAATTTGGACATTGTTACTTTTGTATTACAACATTTTAATATTTATTTTTGTTTACTTTGTCAGATATATTTTATCTGGTTTATTTTTATTTTATTTTTGTTTAAATTTTCGGAGTATCACAGTTTCATCCTTGAAGGATGCGTTGAGATAGAACTCAACGGTGTCAACGTTGCTGTAGGCTTCATAACCATGAGAGATGACCTTGCTCAGTTGACATTGTGACAGTCCGTCAACAATGGAGGTCATCCTCTCCTTATTCTCTGCGAACCTGGGCAGTACTTCCAGCTCGCATCATAAACTAAGACGAGAATTAAGTATGAAGATGAAGTATTACAAGTTTATAAGATGTTACATCCCGCCCCCCTAAAAGAAAGGTTACGTCCTCGTAACCCAATATTTACCTTAGTTGAACAGTTCAGGATACCGTTTACGCATATCCTCTTCTGTCTCCCATGTTGCATTCTCGGTCAAATGGTTTGACCAAAGTACTTTTACCATCTTAACTTTCTTCTTCCTCGTCTCTCGGGTTTTAGTATCAAGGATCTCTACGGGTTTTTCTTCGTAGGATAACGCCTCATCCATTTCAATCACCTAATAATATAAGGGTTAACTTATATTATTTCCAGTTTACTTTGGTTCATGTTAAGTTTAGGGTCTCTTACCTCAGGATTGATGATATGTGACTCATCTCGAACGTACTTCTTTAATTGTGATACGTGAAAGACGTTATGTACCTAGCACAAGTCTGTATGTTAAGGACGAAATCTAATCGTTGAAAAGTATCTTGTTTTAAAATCGTTTGTTACCTTATCCAACTCTGTGGGTAGAGCTAATCGATATGCCACTTTTCCCACCTTCTCTAGGATGTCGTAGGGTCCGATGAACCTCGGGCTTAGTTTCCCTTTCTTCCCGAACCTCATTACTCCCCTTGTAGGAGAGACTTTGAGTAGAACTTTCTCCCCTATCTCGAATTCGATCAGCTGGCTTCCTCCCAAGATCGGCATATGATTTATGTCGGTCTTGGGCAGCCTTCATCCTCTCTTGGATGACTTTAACTTTCTCTATGGTATCTTGCAAGTATTGTGGTCCTAGAACCACCTGATCGACAATGTCACCCCAACATAAGGGACTTCTACACTTTTGACCGTATAGAGCTTCGTACGGGGCCATTCCGATGCTAGCATGGTAACTGTTATTGTACGAAAACTCTATTAAGTCTAGGTGCTCATCCCATGATCCTTGCAAATCAAGAACACATGCCCTCAACATGTCTTCTAACGTTTGGATTGTTCTTTCGGTCTGTCCATCCGTGGTTGGATGAAAAGCAGTACTTAACTTCAATTTTGTCCCCATAGCCGTTTGTAATTCCTTCCAGAATTGAGATAAGAATCGTGAATCTCGATCCGATATGATGTCTTGAGGTACTCTGTGGTGTTTGACCACGTATTTCACATAGGCTTTGGCGAGCTTGTCCATGCTCCAAGTTTCATTCATGGGAATAAATCTTGCAGTTTTGGTTAATCGGTCAACGATTACCCAAATCTTATCTCTTCCTGATTTAGTTAAGGGTAACCCTCCAACAAAATCCATCGAGATGGAATCCCACTTCCATTTAGGTACTTCCAAGGGTTGCACAAGTCCCTTGGGTTTACATCTCTCTGCTTTGACTTTTTGGCAATTCAAACATCGGGATACGAATTCAGCTACTTCTCTCTTCATTCCCGGCCACCAAAAGTTCTTTTTGAGGTCTTTGTATAGTTTGTCTCCCCCGGGATGTACTGAGTAGGGAGTGTTGTGTCCCTCCTCCATGATTTGTCTTTTAATATCTGCACACTTCAGAGGAACACACCACCTTCCCTTGTATCAGATGCTCCCATCTTCATGTGTCCTGAATGGCCCATTGACCCCATCTTTCATTCTTTCCTTGATTCTCTCGAGCTTCACATCTCCCGGTTGCCCATTCTTAATCTCCTCGAAGATAGATGGTGTAACGGTCATAGTACATAACTGTATTTCACTATCTACTTCGCCATATTGTTTTACTTCCAAGTTCAATCTTTGAAAGTCTCGGAACAGTTCTTCTGGTAATATCCATGTTGCTCGGCATGAGTGCTCAGATTTCCTGCTCAAAGCATCCGCCACCACATTAGCTTTTCCCTCGTGGTATTGGATTTCCAAGTCGTAATCACTTAGAAGTTCGAGCCATCTTCTTTGCCTCATGTTAAGCTCTTTTTGAGTGAATATGTACTTCAAGCTTTTGTGGTCAGTGTATATCTTACATTGTGCTCCGTATAGGTAATGTCTCCAGATTTTCAGTGCAAACACTACTGCAGCTAACTCCAAGTCATGAGTAGGATAGTTAACTTCATGCACCTTCAATTGTCTTGATGCATAAGCCACCACTTTCCTATTCTGCATAAGCACACACCCCAACCCCTTCTTAGATGCATCGCTATAGATATCGAACCCCTCTGTCCCTGACGGTGATGTCAAGACCGGCGCGGTTGTGAGTCTTTTCTTCAACTCTTGAAATGCCGCTTCACAATCTTCATCCCAATAGAACTTGGTTGTCTTCTTCGTCAGGTTGGTTAACGGTCTTGCTATCTTGGAGAAATCTTTAACAAATCTCCGATAGTAACCGGCTAAACCCAAGAAACTTCTTACATCCGTGACCGAGGTAGGTGCACGCCACTCAATCACCGCCTTAATCTTGGATGGATCTACGGATACGCCCTCTTGGGTGACAATGTGACCCAAGAACGCTACCCGATCCTGCCAGAAGTCGCACTTTGAGAGTTTTGCATACAACTGGTTCTCTCTCAAAGTTTGCAATGTGAGTCTCAAGTGTTTCTCGTGATCCTCCGGGGTTTTTGAATATACGAGGATATCATCAATGAATACCACTACAAAGGTATCAAGGTAAGGTCGGAATACACGGTTCATTAGATCCATGAATACCGCTGGTGCATTAGTTAAACCAAACGGCATCACAGTGAACTCGTAATGTCCATACCTTGTGCGGAATGCTGTCTTTGGTACATCTTTCTCGGCTATTCTCACTTGATGGTAGCCAGAGCGCAAGTCTATCTTAGAGAACGTGCTAGCCCCTTTTAATTGATCAAACAAGTCGTCAATCCGGGGTAATGGATATTTGTTCTTGATAGTTGCTTGATTCAACTCCCGGTAATCGATACATAGCCTTAGACTCCCATCTTTCTTTTTGACAAATAAGACCGGAGCGCCCCAAGGTGAGACACTCGGCCTTATGTAACCCTTTTCTAATAGCTCCTCCAGTTGCTCCTTCAGCTCTTGCATTTCTTTTGGTGCCATCCGGTAAGGTGCTTTTGAAATTGGTGCAGTTCCGGGCATCAACTCAATTGAGAATTCAACTTCTCTCTCGGGCGGCATTCCCGGAATCTTTTCCGGAAATACGTCCGGAAATTCGTTGACTACAGCAATTTGGTCAATGTTTGGCTCTTCTATATTCACCTCTTTCATCAAACACAAGTAGGTTTCATACCCCTTTCGAATATGTTGTCGTAATTGTCGCATAGTCATCAGCTTCATACTGGGCTTGGTTGTGATTGCTTTGTAAGATATTCTCTTCCCATTTGGACCCTTCAAGATCACCTTCTGTTCATCACATAGAATCCTAGCTTTGTACTGCCCCAACCAGTCCATGCCCAGTACTACATCTATATCTTCTAAGTCAAATTGGATTAAGTCTCCGGGTAGGTTGGACTCACATATGAGTACGGAAATGTTGGAGTATACATTTCCACAAGTTACAATTTTATCTGAGGCAGTTCTTACATTCAAGTCTATTCTAGCTGTTGGTTCAATCTTTAATCTCTTAACGAAATTAGAAGATATGAAACTGTGAGAAGCACCAGAATCAAATAGAACATAAGCAGGCTCGGAATTTACAAGGAATGTACCTGAGACCACATCATTGGCATTGGCTTGGGCTTGGTTCATTACCATGATTCGCCCTTGGTTCGGACGGTTGTCGTTATTTCCGCCATTGCCATTGTTCCCGCCATTTCCTTGGTTACCTCCATTACCGTGACCGCGATTATTCTCCCCTCCTCCTCGAGGGTTGCGGTTGTTGTTGATGGCGACGACATTGTTGTTGTTTTGCCCGCCATTAGGCCCGGTTCGGTTTCCATCATGATATTGCACCTGGTTCAATGGTGTCCCATTGGTCTTTGACAGACACTCGAAGGATCGGTGCCCTAGCTTCCCGCAATTGAAACATTTGGTTAGGCTCCCATCGCAGTTAACCGCGGGGTGATCTCTCCCGCACTTCTTGCAGTAGAAGTGCCTATCTCTAGGAGCAGCTCTCCGATCATTTTGCTGGTTTTGACCACGGAAATTTCTTCCGCTTTGGTCATCTCTCCTCTCCCTCCGTTCTTGTTGTTGTGTAGGTGGGTTCGCCCTAAACCTCTTTTCTCCCCGACCTCTCTCCTCATCTCCGTACCTCTTCATTTTCTGGTTTCTCTCTCTTTGTAACTGCTGAACAGGATAGTGAACTGCAGCTCTATCATAGGCATCCGTCAGAGTTTGGCAACCCAAAACAGCGACGGTTTTTTGTGTATCAAAGTTTAATCCACGAATAAACTTCTCGACTTTGGTGCTCTCATCAGGCACTATTGTCTTTGCAAATGGCGCGAGGTCCAAGAATTTAGTGTGATATTCCTGGACACTCATGTCTAGTTGTTTCAAATGTATGAATTCCTCATGCATGGTGGCCTGGACGTGAGCAGGATAAAAACGTTTCCTCATGGCAATCTTGAAAGCTTCCCAATTGAAATTGGGTTGTTGACGTAGAGCTGGGCCTGATGAGACCCACCAGTTATCCCCCTCTTTTTGTAAGTAATTAACAGCAATGTCAACTTTTTGCTCTTCCGGACAGTTCACCGCGTCAAAGAGTTTGTCAAAGAGTCGGATCCAATCCTCGAGGATACGAGGATCTTCTTGCCCATGAAAACTCGGTGGGTTGCGAGATGCTACTCGTTTAGCAGCATCATTTCCATTGTTCTGATTTTGGTGATTCTGGAGTACGGTAGCACCCAATGTGTGCATGAACTACGCCAGTTGTTGGACGCTTTGTGCCAGCTCAGCATTGGTGGGTGTATTATCAGGGTCTCTTCTCGGTGCCATGATATCTTAATAACATAATATATTCGTGTAAGAATTTCCCTATTTTGCTCTTAAGGATCCTATTTCAACTAAGGATTCCATAGGCTATACAACATGATAATATGAAAATTGTACCATACTATTATACACAGGATTCACAGTTCACATAAGACCACTTTTGCACATAATGTGTGTACATACCTTGGCCACTTTGAAATTTTGCCTTATGAGGCATTCCCTTCAACATTTAGGGTTCCCATTTCTCATATGGGCCCACAATTATCACAATTATCACATACATGCAAGGAAAAGAATTACTCACAAGGTCCTCACCACGTTCCTAATAGGCCATTTCCTAGCTATATTATTTCTTCTAGTTTAAAAAAAATATTTGAAAATTTCCCATTTGGAGGTACAATTTCAAAAGTTTCCTTCAAGGATTTCGAACGACGAAGTTTCAGCACAAGGAGAAATTCCCAGTTAGTTGGACGAGCGCAAGGCTCAATTAAGAACCAACTAGCTTAGACTGTTATCGTCTTGGTGACAGAACTTCTCCCTACGACCTATTACCTCGTGTTCTAATCCCTTCGGAGAACCTAAGGGCTCTGATACCAACTTGTAACACCCCCATTTTTTCCACCCAAATAAAATCACATTTTTAAATGAAACCATCTTTATTATTAAACATATTTAGAATACAGCGGAAGTCTTTAAGGGAAAAACAGGTGCGTCACCGCCACACTCAACCTATACATGATTGAGTGCACAGGCTATCCACCATAAGTTCAAATAACAATGAAATGGGTCTTAGGACAAAGTTTATGAATTACAAATTTAAACAACGATAATTAATCAAACGTGTGCAACTAGCGGAACACTCGGGCAGCAAGTACATCAATCTTCATAATCATAATCATCTGTACAATAGAGCAAAGAGAAGAAGACAAAAGAGACAAAAATTAGCTTTAGAGCTAAGTAAGATTCCACCCGAACCCGTAAAATAATATAATTTGAAAAATAGGTTTGGTATAGGTATATATATAGAAAATACCCTCTCATATCTCCAAAATAACTTCATGTCTCAAAATAATTTCTTCAATAGATAATGTCATTCCTCAATTCCTCCAAAAGTAATACTTTAGATTTCTTTTAAGAGTGGGCGAAACTCAAGATTCCTCGAGCCCAACGAGTCGTTGTTATTTACGACTCATCCCGGAATTCCGGCTCCCACCGACCACCAATTTGGAAGCTGAATTTCTACCTTAAGTGTGCACACCCTCTAAAAGGGATTCCAAGCCCTCCGAGTAGTAAGAAACTCAAGTAGGCAGATGTTTTCTACCACCTACTCACAAGGGACATTGTCCAAGGGTAAATTAGATAACTACTACTACAACCACCAAAGGACCTTTGGTCCTCAAATAAAAGCCCGGGATGTCTACCGGAGCATGTCATTGCCGGACTGGTTACCGACCCAAATAAATTTCACCAAAAGTAGTAGTAGTCCTAATCACCCACGCCTCGTGTTTCTCTCGAGACGTAAAAATATATTATGAAAAACTTTAAGTTTTTCCCAAAGTCATTCTTGTCGCACTTTCCAAAAATATACTTTGTAATAAATATCAATCCACCAATATTCTTTAATAAAAAGCATATACATTCAATAATTCATAATAGGTAATAATCCACCAATATCCATACATTCAAAATATTCATTCCATGTCAAACAAATAGTTTCCAATTCATAAATAGTTCACATAGTTCAAATATTGCATACATATAAATACGAGATAAAACATTTTTGGCTGACATAGAACTTACCTTAAATTGCGATAATCCTCTTAATAAAATCTCTAGCTTGGTCTTCACTTGAATTCTCCTTCTAATATATATCAAAATTCTAAATCAATAACTATTCTATTATTTTTGTTATTTCCTATCTATTCAACCTTTAGTTATTTTAACTTCATTATTCCTTCTTTAAATACAACTTTTAAGTTAGATCTATAAATCTTATTTAAATGTTAATTTTCAGTCCAACCTTATTATTTTCTTTAATCATACTAATCCCTTCATAATTTACTTTAATTTATTTGATTAATTAGTTAACTAGTCTAATTATATTAACTACATAATAATTTAGTTATTTCAAATTTAAATAATCAATTCAGTTCAAAATTCAGTTTACATAATTTATATAATTTATTTAATAAACCTTTTAATAATAATTTGATGTAAGCAATAATTCGAAATAATAATCATTAATTATAATCTAATCTCAATAACAACTTTAATTAGTTCAATAGTTTATTTATACTCACTAACCCAATTAAATTAATTAATTCAATCCTCCAGTTTTATTTATTTGATTCACTAATTTAATTGAACTAACTAAATCAAATAAATAAGTTTAATTATATCAATATAGCTAAATACATTAATCTAATTCAATTAAGGCCAATAATCAAATTCTAATTCCGTTTTAATGTTCTATTTTTAATATAAAGTCCAAAAATATTACTACGTCCATAATTTAACTAATTTATCCATTAAACTAATTGATTTAGTTAAACTAGTCCAATGGAGTCAATTAACTTAATTATTAAGTACACATTACTTAATTAATTTGTTTATATTAATCAACTAAGTTTTATGAGTTCAAATAGTTCAATAATTTATATGGAGTCCAAATCAATAATAATCAAAAATAATAATTATTAATTTAATCACACTAATTTAATTAGTCCACTACTTCATTAATTTATTTATTAAGTCCAAATATAGTCATTCATTTACGCTAGCTATCCCAACTTTATTTTTTTTCCTTATTTTATTCCAAACATCATTTTAGTCCAGAATATTATTTTCAATCTTAGTGATTTTATTTATTTCACCATTATTATTCAAATTTTCTTATTTAATTACTTAACTAGTTTTATATGGCCTAATTAAATTAAGTAGCTTAAGAAATGACTTTATAAATTTATAACCGTCCATAACTATATTTTGGGTCTATATTTGACCTAGGTTGTCCAGATATTTATTTTAGAATTATTTCCCTTATTTGTTCATTTAATTTCATATATCTATTAACCGGTTTAATCACAATTAAATATACTAATCATAATTTTTATTAAATATAAATGCTCCCACATGTCCTAGTTAGTCATATATTTAATCTAGTTTACTCCAATAATTATTTCATAATTTATTTCGTCGTTTAGTTAATTATTTACTAAATATGTACAAATTGGCCCAATTACAATTAAATCAATTAAAAATAGTTAGAAATATTATTTTTCAATTCTGGTTGGTCCGAATATGTATATTTATACTAGGTATTTAATTTATATTTTTCCAGATTTTATTTATTTCATTTACTATTTTATTTTTAATTTTTATTGAAAATGGGCCGAACAGGCCCATTAAACTGACCCGGCCCAAGAAGACTGGGTTGTCTTCCTCCCCATTCTTCTCCAGGTCGTTATTCCGGCGACCGGAAAATTAAGGAAACTTCGGCGAGCTATAACTTGACTTACAGGTAACGGATTTCGACGATTCAAATTGCAAAATGATCCTGACGGCGAGACGAAGCTCCGCCACCCCTATCTGTAGCAAACTATCCTCTTTTGCTGAAGACCCGCTTCCACGACTTGCAACTCCGGCGAGCTCTAGGATGCTCCGGTGATTACGAATCGGTCTGGAATTTATTGGGAAGTATTCCTATACCTTTCACGACCCTCCTCTATCGTTTATAAGCAATTCCATACGTAAATATATATATAAGTGTATATTTCCGGCGAGTAAGTATATATATATGCTCTACTCGTTTTCACTGAACTTTAGGGGATGTAAATGTCTCTATTTATAGCTGAGAATGGACTAACTTGGGCTCAACCATATCTGGAGTGATTGGTTTGCATTATTCCTTGATTTTTGAATTATTGTTAAATATTATTATTGTATGAACATGCATGTGAAAATGTTGGTTGTTCTAATGTATCTCAAGTCTCTAGTCCGCAGGTTCATTGCATACATTATCATTGCTACTTGTATTATTGTAACACCTACATATGTGTATCATTCTTACCCACAATTTAAATTGCATCATGCTCCCCTACATTTTTATTATTCATATTAGTATTATATATGTATACTTTTTATATTTTATTACATATTCTTATTATGTGTATATATTTCGTTGAGAAAAAATTCTTTAATTTGGACATTGTTACTTTTGTATTACAACATTTTAATATTTATTTTTGTTTACTTTGTCAGATATATTTTATCTGGTTTATTTTTATTTTATTTTTGTTTAAATTTTCGGAGTATCACAGTTTCATCCTTGAAGGATGCGTTGAGATAGAACTCAACGGTGTCAACGTTGCTGTAGGCTTCATAACCATGAGAGATGACCTTGCTCAGTTGACATTGTGACAGTCCGTCAACAATGGAGGTCATCCTCTCCTTATTCTCTGCGAACCTGGGCAGTACTTCCAGTTCGCATCTCATCCCTGTCAGTACATTCTTCAGGAGAGTTGCCTTGTGTTCCTTTGAAAGATCGGAGAAGCTCAAGAAAGCCATGGAGTTTAGCGGTTTGGGAGTTTTGGAGAGATAAGAGTTCAAAAGCTTGAGAGTTATGAGAGCAGTAACGGTTTAGGTTTGCGAAAGGGGGTTTTATGGGTACGGGTTAGTGGACGTTTGACATAATTTACGGTTCCAAGGTACCAATAAATGTAAAAAGGGGCGTAGTAAATATTAAGGGTAAAAGGGTAAAAGACCTTTAATAATTTACTAGGTCACCCGGTTTTCAGAATTTTCTAAGTCCACAGCCTCCGTTAGACAAGAGAGGGTTCTCTGTAGAAAGGGTTTCTGTTGCATAGGTGTTCTGCCGGGGTAGAGAACAGAAGGGGTTAACAGAAGGGGTTCTGCAAAAGGTGTTCTGTTAACAGGAATTCAGCAACAGAGGGCCTTTCTTTTCAACTTTCCCTTGGAATCTCATCCATCATTCCCAATTCCTCTCTCAGTTTGTTGAACCTAGCCTCAGGAAGAGGCTTTGTCAGGATATCTGCAAGCTGGTCTTCTGTTGGCACATGTTCCATGCAGATGTGCTTCTTTTCAACATGATCTCTGATGAAGTGATGTCTGATCTCAATGTGCTTTGTTCTGGAGTGAAGAACTGGATTCTGAGTGATAGCAATGGCACTGGTGTTGTCACACAACAGCTTGATCTCCTTTGCTTGAATTCCATAGTCCTTCAGTTGTTGCTTCATCCAGAGTAGCTGAGCACAGCAACTCCCAGCTGCAATGTACTCAGCCTCAGCTGTACTTGTTGAGATGGAGTTCTGCTTCTTGCTAAACCAGGAAACAAGCCTTCCTCCTAGCAATTGGCAGTGACCAGAGGTGCTCTTTCTGTCTAGTCTGCAACCTGCAAAATCTGAGTCAGAATAACCAATTAGTTCAAAGTTACCTCCCTTTGGATACCATAGGCCTGCATTTGGATTTCCTTTGATGTATCTGATGATTCTCTTTGCAGCACTTAGATGGCTTTCCTTGGGCTTTGATTGATATCTGGCACAGATTCCAACAGAGAATGAGATGTCTGGTCTGCTTGCAGTCAGGTACAACAGAGATCCTATGATCCCTCTATATGTTGTTGCATCTACATCCTTTCCTTCATCATCTGGACCAATTCCTTGTGAAGTGTTAATGGGAATCTTCACTGATGATTTGCCTTCCACTCCAAACTTCTTGATTAGATCTTTGGTGTACTTCCCTTGATTGATAAAGATCCCTTCTGGAACTTGTTTGACTTGAAGTCCTAGGAAGTAACTGAGTTCTCCCATCATACTCATTTCAAATTGACTCTGCATCACTTGAGAAAATTTCTTGCACAGTTCTGGATTAGTACTACCAAATATAATGTCATCAACATATATTTGTACTGACAGAATATGATTAGCAACAGAGATTTGAAATAGAGTTTTGTCAACCTTTCCTTTAGTAAACCCATGGTTCACCAGGAAAAGGGACAATGTGTCATACCAGGCTCTGGGAGCTTGCTTAAGACCATAGAGGGCCTTTTTAAGCTTGTAGACACAAGAAGATTGAGTAGGAATGACAAAACCTGGTGGTTGTTCCACATAAACTTCCTTTTCAAGATCTCCATTCAGAAATGCACTCTTGACATCCATCTGGTAGACCTTGATGTTGTTGTAGGCAGCATAGGCTAGAAAGATTCTGATGGCTTCAAGTCTGGCAACTAGTGCAAAGGTTTCATCAAAATCAATTCCTTCTTCTTGACAATATCCTTTAGCTACCAGCCTTGCTTTATTCCTTACAATGTTGCCATCTTCATCAGCTTTGTTCTTGAATACCCATTTGGTTCCAATGACATTCTGGTGCTTTGGCCTAGGAACAAGTTCCCATACTTTGTTCCTTTCAAACTGAGTAAGCTCTTCTTGCACAGCATTGATCTAGTCTGAGTCTGCAAGAGCTTCTTCAACAGTCATAGGTTCCATCTGAGATATATAGCAGGCAAGCATTGCTTCTCTTCTAGATGTGGATCTGGTTTGAACTTCACTTCTGATTTGACCAATCACTTGGTTAGGGGGATGACCTCTTAACCATGTTAGGTCAGGTTCTGTCAGCTGCTGTCTTGGTCTCTCTGGTTCCTCATCTTCAGAGTCTTCCTCTTCATTCAACAGAAGGGGGTTTGGTGCAGGTGTTGGAAATGCAGGGTTGTCTGCCACCTCTTCTGTTGATACTGGTGTTCTGTCTTCTATGCTGACTTCCTTGAGGATCTCTGTTACCTCTTTAACAGAGATGCTTTCATCAAACCTCACATGTATAGATTCTTCAACATGTAGGGTCCTTCTGTTGAGTACTCTATAGGCTTTACTGGTGTTTGAATAGCCTATAAAGACTCCTTCATCAGCCTTTTCTTGAAATATTTTCAGATGCTCCTTTCCATTGTTAAGAATGTAGCACTTGCATCCAAATACATGAAAGTAGCTGATGTTTGGTTTTCTTCCCTTCCAGAGTTCATAAGGGGTCTTCTGGTGATTCTTGTTGATCATGCTTCTGTTCTGAGTATAGCATGCAGTGTTGATTGCTTCAGCCCAATATCTCATAGGCAATCCAGATTCTGCAATCATTGTTCTTGCAGCTTCTTTTAAGGTTCTGTTCCTTCTTTCTGCTACGCCATTCTGTTGAGGGGTTCTGGCGGCAGAAAGTTGATGAAAAGTCCCATTCCGATCACAGAAGTCCTTTATGACTTGGTTGACAAATTCAGTTCCTCTGTCTGATCTGATTGTCTTCACTTTCAAGTTCTTCTCAGTCTGAAGTTGCTTTAACAAAGATGGCAACTTCTGAAGAGTTTCATTTTTCTTTGATAGAAAAACAGTCCATGTATATCTGGAATAGTCATCAACCATGACTAGGGTATATTTCTTGCCACCAACGCTTGGAGTCTCAACAGGTCCAAATAAATCCATGTGAATCAGATTTAGAGGACTTGTGGAAAGATCTCCAGCAATGGGTTTGAAGGAATTCTTCACTTGTTTGCCCTTCTGGCATGCACTGCAGAGGGTCTCCTTCTTGTACACAATGTTTGGTAGCCCTTCTACAATGTGTTCTCTGGCCAGTTTGTTGATTGTTTTGAAATTCAAATGGTTGAGCTTTTTGTGCCAGTCCCAGCTCAGTTTTGAATCTCCTTTGGCTATCAGGCAAACTCCATCCTTTGCTGTATTCCAATCAACTACATAAATATTCTTCTTCCTTGATGCTGTCAGAACCACTTCCTTTGTTTTCTCATGCTTCACATAGCAGAAGTCCTTTGTGAATTCAACAGTGTAGCCTTTGTCACAGAATTGGCTAGCACTCAGCAAGTTGAACTTTAGTCCTTTGACATAAGAGACATCATCAATGATTATCTGGTTACTGATCAGCTTTCCTCTTCCTTTTGTTTGACCTTCTTTGTCATTACCTCCAAAGGTAACTCTAGGTCCTTTGCATTTCTGGAACTCTGTTAGGCAACTTCTGTCACCTGTCATGTGCCTGGAGCATCCACTATCAATAAACCATTCTTGTTCAGAGATGGCTCCAGCACACAATTCCTGCAAGATCAAAAGAAAGATTTAGGTACCCAAGCAATGCTGGGTCCTGGGGGGTCATGGAGTCTGGGTAGTTGGTACCATTTTGGTCTCATCAAGTGAAACCTTGGTGGGTGGTACCCATTGTCCACCTGGTAGTTATAGTAAACTGAAGTGTGATTCACTTTGGGAAAATGCTTGTGAGGGTCATGCTTCCTGTTTACATACTTTTGCATAGCCCTTTTTGTTGGAAAGAAGTCCCATATACTATCAAGAGCAGAGGGACGGTTAACCTTGGGCTTCTGAAGTTGACCAGCCAACCTCTTCTGCCTGAAGTTAACTTTCTCTTGATATTTGCCCTTCTGGTGATCATTTCTGGCACGATTGACATGAGGTTGTCTGTTAATGAATGGTCTTTTATTTTGTTATCTTGAAAACCTTTTCTGTTGTTAGGTTTTCTGCCAGGTTCATTATTTTTCAAAAAAGGGTTTCTGTTGAACCTTTATCTTTCCCTTTTCTGGTCTGACTTCCTCATGAACAACCTTGGTGCCAGATACACCAGCTTGACATATGGGGCTAGAAATCAGTGGCACTATGACCTTATCTGCCTTAGCAACACTGGTGCTAGGCATTACAGAAGGCTCACCTGATTCTGTTGAGCCATAACCAACACCAAAACCAGTGCCAATCTGTTGATCAAGTACAATCTTTTCCATGGAAGACTGGGCCTTC